TGATCATGTCAATACTATACATGTGATCACGTTGAGGGTCAAAACTGTACATGTGATCACGTCGAGGGTCAATACTGTACATGTGATAATGTCACTACTATACATGGGATCACGTCGAGGGTCAATACTGTACATGTGATCATGTCGAGGGTCAATACTGAACATGTGATAATGTCAATACTATACATGTGATCACGTCGAGGGTTAATACTGTACATGTGATCATGTTGAGGGTCAATACTGTACATGTGATCATGTCAATACTATACATGTGATCACGTTGAGGGTCAAAACTGTACATGTGATCACGTCGAGGGTCAATACTGTACATGTGATCACATCGAGGGTCAATACTGTTCATGTGATCACGTCAATACTATACATGTGATCATGTCGAGGGTCAATACTGTACATGTGATCATGTTGAGGGTCAATACTGTTCATGTGATCATGTCGAGGGTCAATACTGCACATGTGATCACGTCGAGAGTCAATACTGTTCAAGTGATCATGTTCAGGGTCAATACTGTAGATGTGATCACGTTGAGAGTCAATACTGTTCGTGTGATCATGTTGAGGGTTAATACCGTACATGTGATCACGTCGAGGGTCAATACTGTAGATGTGATCATGTCGAGGGTCAATACTGTACATGTGATCATGTCGAGGGTCAATACTGTACATGTGATCATGTCGAGGGTCAATATTGTACATGTGATCATGTCAATACTGTACATGTCATCATGTCGAAGGTCAATACTATACATGTGATCATGTCAATACTGTACATGTGATAATGTCAATACTATACATGTGATCATGTCAATACTATACATGGGATCATGTCGAGGGTCAATACTGTACATGTGATCATGTCAATACTGTACATGTGGTCATGTCGAGGGTCAATACTGTTCCTGTGATCATGTCTAGGGTCAATACTATCTATGTGATCATATAGAGGGTCAATACTGTAGATATGATCATTTCAATACTGTACATGTGATCATGTAGAGGGTCAAACAATACTGTACTTGTGATCATGTCGAGGGTCAATACTGTACATGTGGTCACATCGAGGGTCAATACTGTACATGTGATCGTGTCAATACTATACATGTGGTCATGTCGAGGGTCAATACTGTACATGTGATCATGTCGAGGGTCAATACTGTACATGGGATCATGTAGAGGGTCAATACTGTACATGTGCTCATGTCGAGGGTCAATACTGTACATGTGATCATGTAGTGGGTCAATACTGTACATGTGATCATGTCAAGGGTTAATACTGTCCATGTGATCACGTCTAGGGTCAATACTGTACATGTGATCATGTAGAGGGTCAATACTGTACATGTGATCATGTGGAGGGTCAATACTGTTCATGTTATCATGTCGAGGGTCAATGCTGTACATGTGATCATGTGGAGGGTCAATACTGTACATGTGATCATGTCGAGGGTCAATGCTGTACATGTGATAATGTCAATACTATACATGTGATCACGTCGAGGGTCAATACTGTACATGTGATCATGTAGAAGGTCAATACTGTACATGTGATCATGTAGAGGGTCAATACTGTACATTTGCTCATGTCGCGGGGTCAATACTGTACATGTGATCATGTAGAGGGTCAATACTGTACATGTGATCATGTCGAGGGTCAATACTGTACACGTGATCATGTCGAGAGTCAATACTGTTCATGTGATCATGTCGAGGGTCAATACTGTACATGTGATCATGTAGAGGGTCAATACTGTACATGTGATCACTTCAAGAGTCAAGTGATCAAGTCAATACTATACATGTGATCTTGTCGAGGGTCAAGACTGTACATGTGGTCAGGTCGAGGGTAAATGCTATACGTGTGGTAAGGTCGAGGGTCAATACTATACATGTGATCATCTCGAGGGTCAATACTGTACATGTGATCATGTCAATACTATACATGTGATCACGTTGAGGGTCAATACTGTACATGTGATCACATTGAGGGTCAATACTGTACATGTGATCATGTCAATACTATACATGTGATCACGTCAAGGGTCAATACTGTACATGTGATAATGTCAATACTATACATGTGATCACGTCGAGGGTCAATACTGTACATGTGATCATGTCGAGGGTCAATACTGTACATGTGATCATGTCAATACTATACATGTGATCACGTCGAGGGTTAATACTGTACATGTGATGATGTTGAGGGTCAATACTGTACATGTGATCATGTCAATACTATACATGTGATCACGTTGAGGGTCAAAACTGTACATGTGATCACGTCGAGGGTCAATACTGTACATGTTATAATGTCACTACTATACATGGGATCACGTCGAGGGTCAATACTGTACATGTGATCATGTCGAGGGTCAATACTGAACATGTGATAATGTCAATACTATACATGTGATCACGTCGAGGGTTAATACTGTACATGTGATCATGTTGAGGGTCAATACTGTACATGTGATAATGTCAATACTATACATGTGATGATGTCAAGGGTCAATACTGTACATGTTATCATGTCAATACTATACCGTGATCACGTCGAGGGTAAATACTGAACATGTGATGATGTCGAGGGTCATTCCTGATGATGTGATCATGTCAATAGTATACCGTGATCATGTCGAGGGTCAATACTGTACATGTGATCATGTCGAGGGTCAATACTGTAGATGTGATCATGTCAATAGTATACATGTGATCATGTCGAGGGTCAATACTGTACATGTGATCACGTTGAGGGTCAATACTGTAGATGTGATCATGTTAATACTATACATGTGGTCAGGTCGATGGCCAATACTATACATGTGATCATGTCGAGGGTCAATACTGTACATGTGATCATGTCAATAGTATACCGTGATCACGTTGAGGGTCAATACTGTACATGTGATCACGTTGAGGGTCAATACTGAAGATGTGATCATGTCAATACTATACATGTGATCACGTCGAGTGTAAATACTGAACATGTGATGATGTCGAGGGTCATTCCTGATGATGTGATCATGTCAATAGTATACCGTGATCATGTCGAGGGTCAATACTGTACATGTGATCATGTCGAGGGTCAATACTGTAGATGTGATCATGTCAATAGTATACATGTGATCATGTCGAGGGTCAATACTGTACATGTGATCACGTTGAGGGTCAATACTGTAGATGTGATCATGTTAATACTATACATGTGGTCAGGTCGATGGCCAATACTATACATGTGATCATGTCGAGGGTCAATACTGTACATGTGATCATGTCAATAGTATACCGTGATCACGTTGAGGGTCAATACTGTACATGTGATCACGTTGAGGGTCAATACTGTACATGTGATCACGTTGAGGGTCAATACTGTACATGTGATCATGTCAATAGTATACATGTGATCACGTTGAGGGTCAATACTGTACATGTGATCACGTTGAGGGTCAATACTGTAGATGTGATCATGTTAATACTATACATGTGGTCAGGTAGATGGCCAATACTATACATGTGATCATGTCGAGGGTCAATACTGTACATGTGATCATGTCAATAGTATACCGTGATCACGTCGAGGGTCAATACTGTACATGTGATCACAGTGAGGGTCAATACTGAACATGTTTTCAGGTCGAGGGTCAATACTGTACATGTTTCCAGGTCGAGGGTCAATACTGTACATGTTTTCAGGTCGAGGGTCAATACTGTACATGTTTTCAGGTGGAGGGTCAATACTGTACATGTTTTCAGGTCGAGGGTCAATACTGTACATGTTTTCGGGTCGAGGGCCAATACTGTACATGTGATCACGTCGAGGGTCAATACTGTACATGTTTTCAGGTCGAGGGTCAATACTGTAGATGTTTTCAGGTCGAGGGTCAATACTGTACATGCTGTCAGGTCGAGGGTCAATATTGTGCATGTTTTCAGGTCGAGGGTCAATACTGTACATGTTTTCAGGTCGAGGGCCAATACTGTACATGTTTTCAGGTCGAGGGTCAATACTGTACATGTGTTCAGGTCGAGGGTCAATACTGTACATGTTTTCAGGTCGAGGGTCAATACTGTACATGTTTTCAGGTCGAGGGTCAATACTATACAGGTGGCCATGTCAATGTCTATACAATTCACGTGATCATGGCAATGTGTCAATACTAGATATGTGGTCACGTCGAGGCTTAGTACTAAACATGTGATCATGTCAAGTGCCAATACCCTACATGTGATCACGTCGAGGTTAATTACTGCACACGTGATCACATCGAGAGCCAACATGTTAAAGCGTTCGCTCGTCACACCGAAGACCCGGGTTCGATTCCCGACATGGGTACAATGTGTGAAGCCCATTTCTGGTGTCCCCCGCCGTGATATTGCTGGAATATGGCTAAGAGCGGGGTAAAACCCTACTCACTCACTCACTCACTCACTGTACACGTGATCATATCAATGTGTCAATACTGGTTACATGTGACCATATTGTTATTTTAACTCAACACTTAGCAAACTCAGACATATTATACTGTGTTCTCCTAAGTAACTATACATCAGGGATGCCACAGGAATAGAATCTCACTAAATTAGCTATGAAAAAACCTCATATTTTCAAGTCGTCAGAAAAGATTGTCATGCACACAGATCCGATTTCATCTACTTTGGTAATATGAAACACATGTTTGTGATAATATTTTATGTTTATCACAAATATGGGATGCGGTGCATCTCTTCTTTTATGAGCAATTTCGTAGACTGATTAATGAGGCACCCGTAGTACGTTGTCAGTGACTGGTGAGAACTACACTACTGGACAGCCAATGCAAAACAATCCTTCCTGCGATCTCCATCGTTTGTATTTGAGATCAAAAGATAAGATTCATAAATATTATAAAACAATATTTATCGGATGGGCATAAATCGTATATATTTCATTTGCTGGATTTGTTTTTCATCATCATCATCATCGTCATCATTAATATACTCACAACCACCAAAGCCCCCGACAAGGACATGGTTTCCGAGCCGATGTTCTGCAAAGGATAAATGGCGTATTAGAAATACAGCGAAGGGTGGATTCATTAAAAGGGTTTCTTGTCATCTCTGTTGTCCTGCATCGCGTCCTGGTGGACTCAAAATAAGGGATCGCATGAATTGAACCAATGGTCGTGACTTGTATATTTGACAGCTATGTAACGTCATAGTTTTAACGAATGTGACCCCACTGGTCTGGTGGCAGTCAGTGGAGTTTGGAGCCACTCCTCTTGCAGAACTGCAAAGACTGTGAGATGCCACATGACATTGCGGCACACGACGTCTAAGTTGATCATTCAGATGGTTTTATTTATAATGTCAGGTCTTTCAGCTGGCCAAAACAGTTCTGGTATATTCCTATTCCTAACAAGATCCAATTGCACAAGACCTATGTGTTGGCGGGTGTGTTCCAACTTCTACTGACGACCAATCCTACGCGCAAAGGGTTCCACGACTTATCTCTACAACCTCACGAGGATGTTTCATGTTTTTTCATGTTTTTGTTGAGATCATTAGCAGCCTGTTGGGGTGAGTTCCCCGATCTAATCATGACTACCTCTTGCCATTTGTTCGCTACTGTCATGTATTGTCTCGTAATGATGACTACTTTTACGCAGCAGCAATTGTCCATCAATCTCCTACCATACAAGGCAATCCATGGGTGCTAGCTTTTCCGCGACATGGTAGCGACTGGATACATACTTTGGAATAATACTTTGCAGTTAGCCTTGAATATAATCCCCTACGAACTGTTCCTAACTTTTCATGCGATCTCTTTTTTTGTCCCATAAGAATATGTGTGTGAAATAATCACGGTATCGTTAGTATGATAACAAACTGATTTTATGAAGTGTTTAAATTTTCACAACTGTACGTGAACCATGCATATATTGAGGATGTTTTATCTCAATACATTTACAAAGGGAGACCCCGTTAATCCAGACATTACTGTTCTTATAGTCCGGATTAATGAATCATGGTACGTACTTTCGTCATAGACAGGCGTTCCCATCAGTAGTCCGTACCACAAGGTTTCCGGACTACCCAGGTTTCTGGACTAACAAAGTTTCCAGACTATCGAAGTCTCCGACTACCGAGGTTTCCGACTAGCAAAGTTTCCGACTATCGAGATTTCACTTCAGTTCACAGGCCGCAGGTGTGTAGGATACACTTACCACATCATTGAGAGCAAACAGCAAGATGGTGGACGTGACGACAGTGTTCTGTATCGGTCTGACGTCCACGCTGGTGTTGTTTCGAATGGAAGCCAGAAGAGCAATTTCATCACTCGAGTAGTCTCCCCTTGTTGCTGTGGCTACAACATTTTTTAGAATTGACTATTCAATTTTCGGAGGGTGAGAGGGGCTGGGATCACATGATGGGATGAATTTGAAAAGAGAATATATTACTTGTACAATTTGTTCCTCTGATTTGTTTGTTTGTTTGTTTATTTGTTGCTTAACGCCGCACTCAGCAATATTTCAGCTGTATGACGACGGTCTGTAAATAATCGAGTCTGGACCAGACAATCCAGTTATTGACATCATGAGCATCAATCCACGCAATTGGGATACGATGACATGCATCAACCACGTCAGCGAGCCTGACCACCCGATCCCGTTAGTCGCCTTTACGACAAGTATAGTCGCCTTCTACGGCAAGCATAGTTTGTTCCTCTGAAAGTAGTAGACACTATCACGTTTTTGTTCATCTCCAGCGAACAAGCGTTTTTTCGTTCAAACGAAAATACTTTGGCCAGTATTTTCGAAGTACCCACGTATATAAAATGATCAGTCCGTTTGAGAAAAGAAACTACGCAGTCGCCCAATATATATTTGAACAAGTTCATTATATCAACAGAAAGTTCATTTGTGATATTTCATAAAGCTGCGTTCACACAGTGCCGATTATGGCTCCCATTTGAGATCAGATAGCGCTACGACACGAAAAGTGAAAAAGTCGAATTACTATCCTCAATGATCTAGAATGTCCTATCATTGTCTGAACGCAGTCGTACACGTTCGTAACAGAGTCCTACGGATCGGGAAAGGTCCAGTGTGGTCGGCCATGCACTCCCGACAGTATGGTGCGTCCCGTAACATTCGGGAAACTCAGTCGATTTTGTCTAGTCGGATTACAATTGTGACTATGTCGTGACAGATTCTGCTTTATCGGATCAAAATCGTAACAATGTCCTGTGTTGTGTGAACGTTGTCCCGTGGATCGTGATGAACGGGCATGGTTTGGAGAAATTGTTCATTGCCGTTTCTTGTCGATTAAGTCCAGATTGCGTCATGATCTTGCCGAATGCGAACAGTCTTTGTCGGTTCACTGTCCGGTCACTGTCTGACCTCTGTCGGATCGCATTCGGGAGAATCGGGAAGCTATCGGGACAGATTCGGTCGTTTTTTACCATGCAGATGATACAAATCGGATCAGATTCGGATTGAGAACGGGAGAATCGGGATACTTCCTGAACAATATCTGATTGTTGTCGTGATAAGATAAATGTTTTTTATAAATTTGTGAATTTCCCGCTACGAATCACAGGATCTTGATCAAACTTTTGACATTTTTTTATCGGGAATGGTCCTTTCCAGGACGGCAGTGAAAATCCTGAAAGTGTGACTAAGCCCTTAGCCGCTTGCAACAGCCCGGTCTAATGCCGGCTTTATAGTACTAGGCTACTAGCCCAGTGATATGAGATACCACGCCGCGGTTCTCCGGGCAGACACTATCCACGAGACCACGGAGATGGCCCGGTCGAACGAGTGGACTTCATGGATATAGCGGGACATCGTTACTCGGTTCGTTGTTCATTATATCAAAACCTGCTTTGTCGTCATGTAGCAGGCACATTGCTGAGTACGGCGTTAAACAACGACCCAAAGAAACACTATTCACAAGATCACGTAAGGTAGATAGCACTCCTGTAGGAACAATCACAACCCGTGTTCGTGTGTTTCACCAAAGTGGTTAACGTCTTCCACTTGCATCACTTCGGGCGTTCTCCTACACTAGCTGACACGCCGAGCTATAACTGGAACGCTGTTCCAATCGGCGTTAAACCCAACTCCCTCACTCACTCTGTAGGAACACTTTGAACATCCTTGTTTTACGACATCGTGTTCGATATATTAGACGTTTGTGATATCAGAAGGAGAAATGTATCAAATATCCTACCAAGGAGAAGAATCGCCAAAGTCAGATGTAGGAGGTAGGCCATCTTCATCCTTAGTTTGAACAAATCTGAAAAGTAAACAGTGACACTATTGATCAGAAACAAACACGGTATGAATCAATAACTGATATAGAAATGTTTCATTTACGGTGCATTGGAAGTTATAATCCTCTGTACAACACTGCCTGCGGTAGCGCCGTAATTCAATCTTATCACACAATTAAATATTTACACAACCCTTTGATATAGAAATATTTCATTTACGGTGTTTTGGAAGTTATCATCCGCTATACAACACTGCCAGCGGTAGCGTCGTAATCCAATGCTGTAACAGTTAAATATTTACACTTACTACTCGCCCGGGTGGAGATCACCGCTATATTACACATTGTGTAATACCAAATCACGTGCTTATGTACTGCGGGAACAAGTTTCGCTAACAAATATTGAAAACTCCCAACATCACTGGGCATTTTCAATGGCATTGCGTGGAGAGATGATAGATCACTGAGATGAACTTATTGCACTCGATGCCCCCAGCAACAGTGTTGCTATGAGTCGTCACATGTCATCCACAAGGCGATTGTAGCGCCACGACAGCCGTAAGTCTATGTATAAGTATGGGAGTTACGATACCTTTAGCGCTACGATCACTTTATGGAACGGACCCCTGAATTCTGAAGGCGGGCCGTTGTATGGTATTAAATTAATAAGTATCAACGTTTGACGTGTTTGAAGTATTATTCTGTTAAACCCAATTGGAGTAAGCAGGATCATATAGTTGTCTGGCTATTCACACGCAACAGTGAAATTAAATTTTTGTGTGGCTGTCTACCGGAAGTTTATTTTTCAGCACAAATGAAAGCCTTGCTACGTCATGTCTCCCTACCTAACACAGACGGACGTTTCAACCCCACATGTAATTGCGACTTCAAAAGTATTTCCGAGTTTGCAGAATCATATTTTGAAAAATATTTGGGGTCATCAAAATTCTTTATCATATATTTGAAGATGATTATATACACAATTAACCAACAATTCTTGAAAACTACGAGACGGTGTTGGAAGCGAAAGAATACACGGTGGTAAAATAACAAAAGTGGCGCTTGCAAAACGAAGAGTCTCGATTGACGAGCTAAATGAGAAATTTATAGTTTATAACGAAACATTTGCAAGAGAATAACAAACGGCAAGAAACGATATTAACTTAATAAATGACCATCTATCATTATTTTGCCTTGTCAATGAGCGAAAAAAAAGGAAGTCAACAGTTTGTGTACGGGCCAGACACTTACGATAAAGGGAGACAATTTGCGGAGAAGTAGTTCCAGTATGACAAGTGAAATACCATGTTTCTCCCATTGAGTGACGGGTGGAAAGGAGATATTTTTACGAGTGGCGTAGCCACGAGTGAAAATAACTCCATTTCACCCGTCACGAGAAAGAGACAAACATGATATTTCACGAAACATATGGAATATCCTATTTATCATATACATTTTCTATAGTTGTCTACAGGAAAATTAAATTATTTCATTACAAATTTAAAACCTTGAAACGTGAATTCTCCCTACCTAACACACAGGGACGGGTTACTACCCCTTGTATTTGCGACTTAAAAAGTGGTTTCGTGTTTACAAATTCTTAAAACTTGTAACTGTAAGTATACAAAAATATTTTGCGTAAAAAACATTCTTATCCTACAATAAGAAAAGACTATTCTTTAAAACAACGAGACTGGTGTTGGAAGAGAAAGAATACACATTGGTCAGGTGATAAAAATGGCGCTTTTGGGAAACTAACAGTATCGATTGAAGAGTTAAATGAGAAATTTACAGTTTATAACGAAACATTTTCCAGAGAATAACAAGAAGTGATATTAACTTCATAAATGACCATCTGTCATTACTTTGCCTTGTCAGTTCGGAACTAACGTAAAACGGACGTCATCAGTTTGTGTACGTGCAAGACATTTACCGGGGGTACAATATTGAAGTGAGGCAATTTGAGGGGAGGTAACTCTTATATGACAATAGTTCCGTCAAAGTGTCATGTTCACTACAGTGAAATATCAACTTTTATGCTCACTGCAATGAAAAAAGCACTTTTCTTAACTTTCAAACTGAAGTAGACAATAATTATATAAACGGCAGGTAACAAATAAATTACTAAACTCCCGTGTAATACCAATATTATGAAACTCGTCAATAGTTCTTGTTCTTCTTATATTATATCAACCCTTTGTCACTCATTGCAATGTAAAACTAATAACTTTTAAAAATAAGTAATCACTACTAATTATAGCATTACTGTCAGTCAGAGAATATTAAAGAATGTTTCACTGTAATGCTTTTGTACATATATTTTTTAATCATATTCAGAAACAAACATTTGGAATTAAAGGATGAACAGCTGAGAATAATGAAGTTAGTTTATCTTTTTTAACAAATAATTTTAACATTGCTTTACATTGTCTTTGTAAAAGTGTTACCATAACGATTATTACACAATGAGTTAAAATATAAAGTTATCGTTCTTATTTGAAGTTGTTCTGATGTTCATACGCCAATATGAAATCCTTCGAGAAGGACACGAGTCTATATTCGGATTGTTCCGGAATGACACGAGTGTGGCCCCGAATGAAATACACTAAAGTGTATGTAATCGAATCAGGTATTATATCGATGTGGGGTTTGGACGAATTACGTTCTAAGTAAACACAGCATATTTGTCAAATATCTTTTGTTTAAGATGTCTCACATAACATTTTTGGACAATTATTTTGTTACACAACATGGGTGTTCGAAATGAGAACGATCATTCCGAGTACTCAATAACGTTGATGATATATTTTCAGGATTATTGGGAATATGTTATCATTTTGTTCAAAATCTCCCCCGCCCGTCCCGAGTATATCAGACGGGCCGACATGAAATCTTTATTGACTCTTTATTGGCTGTACACAGTTAGTTCTCATAACGCTGATGGATCTAAGGTGTTGAGGAACGTAATATGTTCGTGAAATTCGCTGAAGATCAATAATCAATTTGTAGACTACTTTGTTTGAAAGTGTTTTATTTGTTTGGCGACGAGTATTGATTACTTGTGGAATTGATTGAGAACTAACTTTTCTATTACTACTATTGACAATATATTTGCTCGAAGCAAGATATTCAGTAATCTCCTGTCGCAGAGACTATGAGTCACCCACACCATTAATGGAGTTCTGGCAGTAGTTGATGAGCTAGTAGCAGTGTCAACTGAAACATCCCGACTAGACACGTTCCAAGTCATATAATAAACTGGCACTTTCACTAAGTAACGCACATAGATCAACATGCAACTTCTGCGCTTTCAACTGCTGTATTTATCTTTCTTTGTTCTTTGTTTAACGCCGCATTCAGCAATATTCCAGCTAAATGATGGCAGTCTTTAAATAATCGAATCTGGACCAGACAATCCAGTGATCGATATAATGAGCATTAATCCACGCAATTGGGATACGATGACATGCATCAAGCAAGTCAGCGAGCCTGACATGGCCAACCGATCACGTTAGTCACCTCTGACGACAAGCATAGTCACCTTTCACGACAAGCATGTGTTGCTGAAGACCTATTCTACCCCGGATCTTCACGACAAGCATGTGTTGCTGAAGACCTATTCTACCCCGGATCTTCACGGTCCTTATGCCAAGGGTTAATAGGGGGCTGGTCCAAAAGTTCTAAGCCTGACTAATTTTCAACTATGGGCCTTAAACAAAGTGAACTAGTCAATGTAGTACATTGTTTGAGCAGTTCATTGAAAGTGTATTGGCCTGTTGAGGTCGTTTGTATATTTTTGACAGCTAGTTGAACGTGACAGGTGTCCAAATGGACACAGAAATGGAAAAGAACGAGTACCGAGCAGTCATCAAGTTTTTGACTTTAGAGAAAGGTACTCCCCAAGAAATTCATGACCGCACATCACAAGTGTATGAGGATAAGTGCCCTACCTATTCCACTGTTAAACGTTGCATTGGGCAGCTATGTTTAAGACCGGGAGAACAAGCCTTGATGGGGACTCTAGGTCTGGACGTCCCTCAACTTCCATCAATTAAGATTCAATTAAGGAGAAACTTACACTGTCCGATAGACGTATAAACATTGCTGAACTTGAGGAAGACACAGGTTGAAGGCATGGATCCATTGAAACTATTATTCATGAACATTTACAGATGAATATGATATCTGCTCTTTGGGTGTCAAAGTTTCTAAATTCTGATTATTTATTCTGGTTATTCCGCGCCAGCCAAAAGTGATTTTGTAAAACAAATCATTTACTGTCGCTATCAATATAGATATAGTATACAAAATACTGTGATAAACACGTGTTGGCAATACATCTTTAAAATTTCAAACTAACGGGATTGGGAGGTAAGACCAGCTGACTTGGTTGATGCATGTCATCGTTTCCCAATTGCGTAGATCGGTGCTCGTGATGTCAATCACTTGATTGTCTGGTCCAGATTCAGTCATTTACCAACTGCCGATATAAAACTGGAAACTTTGCTGGTTCGGCGTTAAACAACAAACAACACCATTATTGTTCTGATTACGATATAAAACTGGAAACTATGCTGGTTCGGCGTTAAACAACAAACAACAACATTATTGTTCTGATTACGTAAGGTGACGTCAGAAGCAATGGGTAGCCTCAAATGGTCAATGTGACGTCATTTACCTTCAACATAAAAAATCATCATTGCAAATGTTAAAGCGTCGGAAACTTATTTCATTCGACTTGGCTACGTTTATGGGTAATATAATACATATTGAGGAATGAATTATTATTGTAATGCGTTAATTTATTATTGTCTTAACTTGACGTATGCTGGACACCCAGTTAAGTTGGAAAGTTCACATTGTCTTAAATTTCAAGGTAAATTAAAGTGACGCCCACTCTAAATTTCCAGATCAGTGATCAGAGTGAGTGAGTTTAGTTTAACGCCGCTTTTAACATTATTCCAGTTATAACACGGTGCGTCAATGTGGGAGTAAAGTGATGCAGGTCTCAGACGTTTACATCAAGATGAATAGTGTATTAAGATACTGTTATGTATTTAACACATGCATTGTTGGGTAAATACATTCCAAAAGACTCGTGAAGATCCGGGGTAGAATAGGTCTTCAGCAACCCATGCTTGCCCTAAAAGGCGACTATGCTTGTCGTAAGAGGCGACTAACGGGATGGGGTGGTCAGGCTCGCTGACTTGGTTGATGCATGTCATCGATCCCAATTGTGTGGATCGATGCTTATGGTGTCAATCACTGGAATGTCTAATCCAGACTCGATTATTTACAGACCGCCGTCATATAGCCGGAATATTGCTGAGTGCGGCGTTAAACAACAAACACACAAACAAACAAAACAGACATACCAAAATGTGTTTTTTAGTAATATATTTAGGTTGTGGGTCATGTGTACAAGAGGTATATTCGAATTTCATATTGGATTTGGCAGCCATATTTGTTTGTTTGAGTGGAACCATATTTGAAAATATTTGGAATGGTATAACCTACAACTGTTGTAATTTCACGCTTTTAAGACAAAATGCACATTCTTTTCGCGAAAAGACTGGTCTACAGGCCATAGTTTGTTTTATTTTCTTGGGGAATACTATGCCACCTCATCTGTACTCGAACAATTGGTACGGTGCGCCGTTAGATGCCCGGTTTTTCCTCGATCCCACAGTAAGTTATTGTCCAAGTATCAGTGCTGGAGGTTCAACTGTCAAACTACTAATATCGTTTATCCTAACTGTAAACTACCGGGAAAAAGAAAGTATACCCCCTTGTTTGATGGTGACTAGATATGAAACAAACAATAAATAGTTAGTCGATAGTGATGTGTTTGATACGGGTATCATAGATGTCTAGTATAATGTTTTGGTCAAATCCAATTTCCAAGTGTATAATCATTTTTGACCGACAGGCTAGGTACATATTTGTGTAACGGTCCGTTTAAACACGAGCAGCCTCTTTGAAAGTATTCTTGGGTTCTTATACATGTGTGACCTCATACTTCTAACACATTTTCACTTTAATATTCTCTGTTATGTTTAGTTATACGTAAATAATTTTAGTGGCAGTAGAAACTGTCCTAAATATATCTATGGTACAGCAAATGATGTAACTACACGTATCAAGTGCTGTCGTGGCCAGGTTTGAACAACAGCTAACAGCTCTTCAGAATCGATTTGAACTAGAGTTATCTGCCCTTGGCTACATGAACATGGCAGATTTGATCGTTCTGGAAGTTTCTGGGTGCGTATTCTTGTTTGCATGGCTGTCAGAACAGAAGATAGCTTTCTTACTCTCAATGTTATATGTACATATCATGTTGAGGATTTACATATCAAAGTTATAATGACGACCGGAATATTTAATTGAACGTATCCATTCCTATTTTACAATTATACGTGGCGAGTTTGGAGTTTGAGATAAATATGATTTTCATATGGGAAACCCTACATACACTGACGGATGGTCAGTAAAGCTTATTGCCATGTAAAGCTGTCTGGTTGAATTAAAATGTTTAAATTAAAATTTCATGTTTCCAACATTCGATTGATAAATAATTACATTATGTTCTAAACTATAACAAAGATATGTAGAGTTTGTGGGTAAGTTAAAAAAGAGTGAATGAGCATGGGTTTACGCCGCTTTTAGCAATATTCAAGCAATATCACGGCGGGGAACACATGAAAATGGGCTCCACACATTGTACCCACCCGGGCTTGGGCTACCCCACCGCCCATTGTGGGTAAGTTAACAAAACGTTTCCAATCCAATGTTATCCTGAATGACTTTATAGAATCTCGCTTTGCTTGAATCTATCAGAGTTCGATTTGGTCTTCAAGAAGTGATCCTATGAGATGTTTCAGACAAAAATGACTGTTTAGTCCAGATTTCAACAGCAGTCAACACGCAGTCAACACGCAGTCAACACGAAGTCAACAGCAGTCCAAAGTTCCCAACCTTAAGTTAGCCGCTTCTTATGACAAACATAGGATCTGGGAACCAATTCTATTTCCGAATCACCATGGGTGAAGTTGGTGCACTATAATCTTGGTAAATGTAAGTCTTTGATTGCCTGTTTTGACTGTCGTGTGAAAGAAACGCCAGTCAGTAAGCTTCAAACACATTTCTTTTATGAAGACTATCACAGAGAAGAAGGTCTATTTTCTGTTTCAGAAGTTTCTTTAATGATAACTATATGACAACATAATAATAATAATAATAATAATAATTGACAAAAACTACGGAATAGGTCTTATATACTCACTGTCACGGGTAGCCGACTGCCCGCTGGTGTCCCACAGACGATCACAACTCTCTCATCTTCACTTCACACATTCAAGATTCAATGGAAGAGCTATTCATATTTCATTCTATTTCACTACCGTTTTGAATCTCACTTCAACAGATAACTGACAGTGCATCCAGAATTGACGGCGGTCGTTCGTCATACAAAGGGAAAGTTATACCGATGACGGCCATGAGGTGGCTGTTCATATTCGCTGCACCTTTTGTATTAGAACTGGGTACGAGGTACAATAGATTAATCCAAAGTCGATCAGATTGTGGTCAGTCTGGGAATGTAAACAGCAGAACTAATATGACACGTTTGACAAGTACAGGCGGCTAATGGTCTTACTTGAACAATATGCGTAAAACGATTTCTGCGATGTGTATGGGACCTGAACGATTTATAAAAAGCAAGCTCGTATTGAGGCTATGATAACAAAGCTATATTTGATTGGGAGTGGACGTCAATATAGTAATTTCGCAAACAATTTGATTGTTGTATGTATTAATTTGTTAATGAATCCACAATGTTATATATGCTGTCTGTTATCATTAAACTGTTGGTGGTGTATGGAATGTGTTTGTGACGTTAATGCAAATGGTCCTCACTGCCTAGCAACAATAAACAATTGAGGCTTGTATATGGAATTGATACACACAATCCGTGTCTGTAGTTTGTTAGACACAAGGTACATGGCAGGTTCCATCTCGATCTAGCAGGTTTAATGTCCTAAACATATTACGTTCCTCAAAATCTGTTTGGATTCTGGAAAGTTTAATAAGTCCCCAGCAACCCATGCTTGTCGTAAAAGGCGGCTAAATAGATCAGGTAATGGGGCTTGGTTGATTGCGTGTCATGTTTATTTGTTTGTTGTCTAACGCCGCACTCAGCAATGTTAACGTTCCATCCACATGACGGCGGTCTGTAAATAATCGAGTCTTGACCAGACAATCCAGTGATTGACATCATGAGTATCGATTAACACGATTGTGATACGATGACTGGCACGATTCATTTAGATTCAACTTACGACAAGCATAGTCGCCTCTTTCGGCAAGCAAGGGTTGCTGAACACCCATTCTCATCTGGATCTTCACGGGTTGCGTGTCATATCCGATTTGCGTAGATAGATGTTCATGGTGACGATCACTGGATTGTCTGGTCCAGACTCGAGATTGTACACAGTCCTCTGACACAAAGCTGGTGTATTGCGGAGTCGTTAAACAAACAAGTCATGTAGGTAATATTTGTTACCACCTACCGCCTCATTTAATAAATCCCATATGCTCTCATGAACATTAATTTATGACAGTGTCCACGCCAGAAATGTCCATGTCCGAGTGCTCAGTGCTTCGAGATTTACACTATTTGGAGCGCGATGTAGACATTATTTAAGTCACATGGAATACGTTATTAATGTGGCTCATTAAACACAATCTGTTACGACTTAGTAAATATGTTTTCCTTTGTTCGTGGTTACATAACAAAACCCACACAAAACGTCGGGCAAAGGACTTGACCTGGTCTAAATATCAGAAAATATTGTATGAGAACCTCTAAATCAGACTTGGCACATTTTAGCCTTATCTCTGCATTTTGTGAAAAATAAATCTAATTCTCATTCCTGAGAAGGTATCTTAAATATTTATTTCTGAAAGTGTCACTCATTTCTTAGCTCACGCCCAAAGGGTTCTTATCCTTGTTAGTTGCGTCCCTTGGGCACGCCAGAAACCCATGATTTTGGGTTCGAATCCCGGTTCGCCCCGATTATGTTTCTAGGTTTGTCAGTACCATACCCGTGTTTATGGGTTTCACCGAAGTGGTAAACGTTACAGACCTGCATCACTTCGGGCTTTCCTCCCACATTAAGCTGACACGCCGCGATATAACTGTAAAAAGCGGCGTTAAACCCAACTCACTCACTATATCACCAACTACCTAAAACATGTATCATTATGGGCGACTTAAATGGTCACAACCCGCTCTGGGGTGGTAGAGATACAAACTCTAAGGGGAAAATCCTTGAAGAGTTTATTTCAAGTGAGGATTTATGTATCTCGAATGATGATTCACACACCTATTTACACCCTGCAACTGGTACATACTCTTCACTTGATTTGGCACTCACAGATTCCAGCTTGTATAATGAATTTGAATGGTCAGTTTATGATGACCTGTGTGGAAGTGATCACTTTCCAACAATACTCTCACCTGTTCATCCAGCTGATGTTCAAACTTCGTCATGATATAATTTTACGAAGGTCAACTGGTCTTTGTTTGAAACGTTATTCAAAAGCACTCTAAAAGCCGATCAGCTACTAAAGCATTTACCTGACACATGTCTTGAAGTACTGTTAAGTCTTTTTGACAATATATGAACATCTGGAAATGTCCCTTCATCTTGGCGGAATGCTGTTATCATTCCTATACCTATTCCTGGTCAGGATCATACTGATCCGTCAAATTATAGGCCAATATCACTTACTAGCTGCGTTTGTAAGACCATGGAAAGAATTGTCAACAACAGATTAATATGGTACTTTGAAACCAATAATCTTATAACAAATATTCAATATGGTTTTAGGAAAAATAGAAGAACTGTTGACCATTTGGTTAGATTGGAAACATTTGTGAATAATGCTATAATTGCTAAAAACAACACGATGTGTCGATATTTTTCAACTTAGAAAAGGCATATGATACAACCTGGAAACATGGGATTGTGAAAAATCTTTATGTAATGGGATTGAGAGGACATATGCCTAATTTTATATCACAGTTTTTAACAAATAGGCATTTCCAGGTTCGAATGGATTCAATCTTGTCAGATATTTATGATCAAGACCAAGGTGTCCAACAAGGTAGCATATTATCAGTGACGTTGTTCAGTATAAAAATTAATAGTCTATCTATGGTTTTAGCTGACTCTGTTGATGGGTCATTATTTGTTGATGATTTTAATTTATCATGTCGAGGTAAAAATATGCACACGATTGAAAGACAGTTGCAGCTTTGTCTCAATAAAATTGATGATTGGTCAGAACATAATGGCTTTAAATTTTCCAAATCAAAAACAAATTGCATTCATTTCTGTCGAAAATATAAACCACATAGTGATCCTGACTTACATCTAGCAGGCACACCAATTAAAGTTGTAAAAGAAGCTACATTTTGAGGTATAATTTTCGACTACCATCTCACCTTTTTACCACAAATTAAATATCTTAAAACAAAATGCCTGAAGGCCCTAGATCTATTAAAAGTTGTTTCAAATTCCAAGTAAAGAGGGGATCAGTCAACCCTTCTTCACTTGTACAGATCACTCATACGTTCTTAACTCGATTATGGCTCTATTATGGTATTATTATGGTTCGTTCGGTTCTGTTCGGATGAACAAAACCTTCCAAATGGCGTGCTGGTTTTCTTGGGGGAATTAGTCAGCAAAGAGCCGGAGTCACAGGAGACTAATTTTATTTACAAGAACAATTAACAATGAACAATATCTTAAAATATAGCTGAGGGTGCCACAGAGAGTCGGTACAACCCTCTGGGCTGTGGGAGAGAGATCTGCTTGGTATGAGCGTCAAACCCAAACTGCCTAACATTTTGCCTCAGTATGTATTTAACAAAAAATTAAACAATAAAAAGGAATATGATTGGTTGATACACGATGGGTTGTGCCCTATGCTAATGAATGGCTAGACAGAGGTGAATACTTAATCCTGTTAATCCTGTTGGCACTAATCTTGTTGACATATTTACTGGGTGCTTGGAAAGAGATTATGGTCTCATTATAGACGAGCTTGTATGGGGTCTAATGAGTCCAAATTGAAGTAATTGCTGAATGTTATTCTAATATAGGTGATGACAGATTGACTTAAATAAAATAGTTCAAGGCAATCTTAAAGACTATGTAGACATATCTTTTGTCTGGGAGATGGGATCTTGATACCTTAGGCTAGCATTGATCTAGTTGTCATAGCGACTGATTTATGACAGCTCCACCATCAGGTGGAGCCTGCAAAAGCAATCTTAAACGTTATGATTCCATCCACAATCAAGGTCTCAGCTCTGCTTAGGATCTTTTCGAACTTCACCCATTGACAAGTCTGTACGTTGAGGCCGATCATCTTCCCAAGGCAAGAGAGTTAACTGACTATAAAAGTCCAGTTTCCACCCTTGCCGAACTAGGTTGGTATTATGGAGTTAGATTTTGAGTCTACGCATAGTCCAATCAAAATCGCGCAACAAAATCGAAATCCGGTTCGTAAACTGTCATGCAGATTTCGGTCGATTGCAGCATTTGCACAGCATGTGCACCACTAACTCGTTGTCAACAGATATTTTCCAAATCTTTTCAAGTTTTTAATCAAGGTGCTCATGTGATTTGATGCAGTTCGCGATGTAAGACCCGTTTTCTCACAATATAGATCTTGATTGTCCATCATATCGTCTTGATTAGGCGCCGCCATTTTGTTTGAAGCAAATGCAAGCGATACGAGAGGTGGAATCTGATTGGTCCATAGGAGAGGCATAGAAGGGATTTAACTCGTAACAGCCACTGGTGGCGCAACGATTGAGCCCAGGAATTCCAGCCTAGTTCGGCAAGGGTGGAAACTGGACTTTTAAAGTCAGTTAACTCCCTTGCCTCGGGAAGATGATGCCGATGAGCCATCTCTGAAACAACGCCGTATAAAACTATCTCTACAATATATCACAAAACTGTATTCTAATGAGTCAAACCCTGCTTTCAACTGTGTATTAAATCCCCTTTATGAAGATCTGTCTACAAAAAAATCATATCTTATTCCGCCTCTTGGAATAAGACTTAAACCTTTCATTTGTGCTGCCAATATTGAACTTGAATCTATATCTCCTTTCCGGCTGCTTTCCTCTCCCTCTTGGCAATTGGTAAAGCCACAATTAGACCTCTCATTGGCCAAACTAAAGAAATCAGAAACAAAACAATTAGAGTATTAACAGGAATATAATCAGTTACGAAATACAAACAATACAGTAAACAACGGTTATAACGAACTCAAAGGGACCACTAATTTCAGTTCGTTATAACCGTAATTCGTTATAAGCATATGTACAGCATAACTACAGCATACAGTCGGGACTAAAAAGTTAGTTCGTTATATCCGTTAGTTCGTTATAAGCGTGTTCGTTATAACCGTAGTTTACTGTACTTACAAATCAATATTTACAGATGGATCCAAGGATGATGATGCTGTTGCCACTGACACTATCGTTGGATCCAGAACTTTATCAACCAGATTACCTGATCACTCTTTCATATTCACAGCCGAATCAAA